ATATTTTTAGAACAATTTAAATAAAGGTATGAACTTGAGAATGGTTTGGGATGCAAGCAAAGCTTTTATAGAGAGTATTTCATTCAGCATAACACTGAGTTTAAAAAAAGGAATCAAGAAAAAATGCAAGCTATTTTGGATGAGATAAAGAAGAAAGAGGATGAATTAAAGTTAACACCACAAAAGTTAAATATTTCAAACCAAATTAAACTTTTACAGCAACAACTATCTATGTTAACAGTGAGAGAATTGGAAAAAAAGATGAGCTATGCCAAACAAAACAAAAAAAATTGAATTTGCAAACAAGCCGGGGAGATGGTTGGCATATAAATTAGGAAAGGAGAAAAAAAAGAAAATAATTATGAAACTTGAAGAGGGTGATACTGTAATGAGACTATACAAAAAAAAAATCATCAATATTACTCTAATGTATGCAAAAGACAAGATATTTCTCTAGGAAAAAATAGACGACTATTAAAAAAAAAACAAAATTTGCCAAAGCTTTCAGATAAGGAAAGACAGAGCACCATGACCAGATGGGCTTCCAGGATCATATTATAAAAATTTTGAGGATGAAATTCTACAACTGCTCCAATCTATGATGAACTTTATATTAATGGAAGGTGGGATGCCAGAGTCTTGGAAGGAGGCCAGTATAGCGTTATTACCTAAAGAAGGACAAGATTTGATTTTAACTAAAAATTATAGACCAATATCATTATTGAATAATGGCTATAAGCTGTTCACAATGATTTTAGCTGGTAGGTTGAAAGTTATATTACAAGAATTTATTCATGAAGGTCAGCATGGATTTTTACCTAAAAGACAATTAAAACATGTTAGAATGTGCTGGACATTATAGAATATTTGGAACCACATAATGAAAAACAAGCTGCATTTCTCTGCTTTTTGGATGCAGAGAAAGCTTTTGACAACTTAAATTGGCCTTTTATGTTTAAAGTTTTGGAAGATATGAACTTTGGAGATAATTTTATAAAAGGAATGAAATTGATTTATACATCACAGAAAGCGCATATTATTGTGAATGGAGATTTAACTAAAACATGTGAAATATAAAAAGGAACGAGACAAGGTTTCCCATTGTCTCCCTTGTTTATTTTAATTTTGGAAGTTTTGAATAGAGATATAAGGAGAGGTGAGAAGATAAGGGGCATAAAAATTAAGAAAGAGACATATAAGTTGAGAGCCTTTGTAGATGATTTGATGTTGGTGTTAGAGGATCCCTGAAGAGGACTGAAGATTTAATGAAAAAGTTGAAAGAATTTGGTGCTTTGGCTGTTTTTAAAAGTAATAAACAAAAGACTAAAATGTTAACAAAAATATGAGGATTCAAGAACAAGAACTGATGAACAAAACAGGTTTTTAAGGTGGAAAAAGAGGTTAAATATTTGGGGGTGAATTTGACAAATAGCAATTGTATGTTGTTTCAAAATAATTATGTTAAGACTGGAATGAAATTAAAAAAGATATGTTAAGATGGGAAAAATTACAATTGTTATTGGAAGAATTTCAGTAGTTAAGATGAATGTTTTACTTAGAATGTTATTTTTGTTTCAAACAATACCTGTTATGACAACTGATGCTCCATTTAAACAATAGCATAAATATATATCTAAATTTGTGTGGCAAGGTAAAAAACCAAGAATTAAGTTTAAAAATTTACAAGATGCTAAAGAAAGAGCAGATTTAGGTGTCCGAAATTTGAAAGTGTACTTTGTAGCTTGTTGTTTGGTTTGGATGAAAGAGTGGGTGACTCTGAGAAATAGGAGGTTATTGGAACTAGAGTGACTTAAGATTTGGGTGGCATGGCTATTTATGGTACAATAAAGTTAATGTAGATTTTAAAAATCATTTTATTAGACGTGCCATATTGAGAATATGGAACAGATATAAATCTGTGTTGTCTCTGAAGGTTCATTTATGATTGTCACCACAAGAAACTTTTTATAGAAGAGAAATGATAACTATAAATAAATGGTTAACTTATGGTGACATATTGAAATTTTCTCAAAGGGATTTTAGATTAAAGACAAGAGAGGAGTTGATCTCAGAAGGATACGTGTGTCAATGGTTTTCTTATGTACAATTACAAGAAAGATAAAAGAACTTATGGTTTTGAATATGGTAAGACTGAATTTGAAGCAGAATTATGTACTAATGATGAAC